AGTTAAAATGGCATCTTCATCTGAAGCAATAATTTGATAAGCTATTTTAGCAATGTCTATTAAATGCCATAAAGGAGTCATGTCATCTGACCTAGCAAGCATACTAACTCCAGCATTTTTCCTTAGGAATTATTTCACAACAGTAAAACTGTGGCATACATAAAGGAACTGGTCTATGAAAAATTAAGAACAATCCAAAGATCAAATAAAAAAATTAAGCAAAAAATAACCACAAGAAAGTCAAAGGGATAGTTTTAGTCATTAAAGATAATATTATGTGGCATAAGATAACGTAAACGTTTGTTATAATTCAAAGAAAAAATCAAAATAGTTAACAAGCATTGTAATAGTTACTATGTAAACATAAGCATTAAAGAGTCAATCAGAAGAAATACTCCCAATTAATATTACTCGTGCAACTACGGTGGCGTCACTATATTTCACAGACATACTTCTGACCTCTAAAAATGCAGTGTAAGTGATTTTCACTGAACACACGCAGGCGGCTCTGGTGGAAGCGGATGGGATCAGGGTCAAGCCTCTGCAGGGTCAATTACAAGTGATGATAAACTTTGAGTATAGAAATAAGAAGAGAGAGACATTCTGATAGAAAAACTAGGAAAACCAAATGAGTTCATGTCAAACAGTGTTAGTCTTCTCATAAATATAGATGCAGTTGGGCCAGCACTGTGGCATAGCAGGTAGAGCCGCTGCCTGCAATGCTGGTTCAAGTGCCGGTTCAAGTCCCAGTTGCTCCACTTCCGATCCAGCTCTCTGCTATGGCCTGAGAAAGCAGTGGAAGATGGCCCAAGTCCTTAGGCTCCTGTACCGTGAGGGAGACCTGGAAGAAATTCCTGGCCATTGCAACCATCTGGGGAGTGAACCAATGGATGGAAGACCTCTATATCTCTCTGCCTCTGCCTCTCTGTAATTCTGCCTTTCAAAAAAACATTTAAAAATAATATAGATGCAGTTGTAATTTCAGAATGGTGTATAGGAGGTTAGAGTGGATGATTAAGTGGGGATAAAAACCCTCTACAACACCTTTCTCATAATTCAATCTCATCAAGCCAATCTGAGTATTATCAAGCACAGGCAAACAATACACCCAATCAACAAAGGAAGCCCATGTTCAAATGGAAAAAACATAATGACATAAGTAACCACTAAATAAATGGTGGCATTTAGAACAGTGTATGGGAGAGATTTGGGATTTCTACACTGTGCTCTAAGAAAATGCCCTTCCCAGAAGAGTTACAAGCTTGCATAGCGATTGCCCTGCAGCTTGATGACTGGCACAGGGCTCAGGTGCTCTTAATTGCAAAGTCATTCATTCACTGACAGGAAACTTCCCAACAGACTCCCACAGAAACCCTGGCCATTCTACATTCTTTATCCCTGACTCCAATTTGTTACTAAACACAATCATGATGGCCATCTAGCAGATGTTCCACGTGAAGTCACACAATGCAGCTGATCCCGTTAACCCCCTCGTCTAGGGCAGCTCTTTAGAGGGTGCCCTCCTCTCTGAGAGGAGATGCATACGTGACAGCTGAAGTACAAAGCATCGCTCCCTCCACCTGACACCCACAGGGTCCCAGCCTGCACTGGAAGAGCAGACGCCAATTACGGTGGGAGCCCCACCCAATCGCTCAGGGCCCAACACGTTGCCAAAAGTGCTGAATTAAAAAAAGTTAAATTGCAAAGAAGAATATAGATAATACAATAAATAAGTTTTGAGTAGCATGGAGAAAAAAATTTGTGGAATTATATAAAGAGTCCTCAAAGAAATGGCACTCAGCTCCTCATAAACTTTTTTCCTTCTGTCTAAAATTATCTGTCGCTCTCACAGTTTGAATTTGTAGTAAAGATATTTTGAAGGAAGAAATCTATTTTACTCAAATTCTAGTTAGGAGTAAATGAGGGCTAACTCCACCAACATTGTTTATAGGTAATTCTATGGATGTTACTATACTAAACTTCTAGGTAATATTACTGTAAGAGCAATGTGATAAACAAAATAGAATTACTTTTCTATATTGAAGAAAACATACAATAAATTTCTGATACTGAGATGGAGAAATGGAAAGCAAGAGACAAGAGGGTAAAAAACAACAAGCAAATAGCTAAGTGCTTCCAGGCTACAGTTTTTCCATCTCATATTACAATGGATCAAATCACCTGGACCCTCAATCCATAAGGCTCCACTGATCTACCCATCTGACACACCACCCTGCCAACCAAACTGTCCTTAGAACTCACTGTCAACAGCAAACTCCATTCTCAAACTCCTCAGAAATGAACAATGCTTCCATTTTTGCCCTAACTCAAACTGTCCTGCCTTCCTGGTGATAGTGCCTCCTGTAACAGAAGAAGAAGAAAGAGGAGGAGGAGGAGGAGGATTATCACATGTCACATACTGTCAGATTAATTTGTAAAACAAGCACTCATGGGTATTAAGTAGATAACCCAACAATGTATTAAATGCACTGACATTCAATAAACAAAAGCAAAAGACCAGCTACACTGGAAAAAAAAAAACAATTATTTTAAAGTTGGCATCCTATAAACTTCTACCTACTCACTTTACTAAATATTCAAAGAAATGTAAAAATAAGAAGGAAGCTAAACCAGTAATGAAATTAGGTGACTGTCACTGCTGCATGCCATAACTTTCCTGACAACTCTGCTGGACATGATACCAATTAGATAAGCTCCTGCTCTCTCTCCAAAATGGCCCTATATTCAGAAAGACACAATGAAGACCCACAGAAACTTCATGTGTACAAACATAACTGAACATTCCTTTAACCTGGCATACAAAAACACTAAACAGAACACATACAGTCATGGGGAGTGAACCAACGGGAGGAAGACCTTTCTCTCTGTCTCTCTCTCACTGTCAGAGCCGCCTGGGTGGTTAACAACCTGCCTCACTCCAGAGCGCGAAGCCCTGGGCAGGCACCACAGTGCGGATTCTTGCTCTCAGTTTAGAGCAGTGCTGCACTATCTCTCTCTGAGTATCAGTCAAAGAAGCATCGGGCAGCATATGGCACATATTCAGAAAGAGCTTTAAACACCACCAACTGGTGGCATTCTAGGTCCTCAGCCCAGAAAGCCAGCACTTCCCAGAGATGCACTTTCTCCAAATCTGGCATAAGAGAATCTTACAAAATAACAGCAATGTATGCTCGCATCACTGTTTGTAACAGCCTCAAAGATAGTACACAGCATCATCAGCCGCCCTGGCTGAACAGACTGTCTCTTTCCTCTTCAATCAGAAATAAGCTCTGGCGCAGGAAGAAGCACCTGCACAATGCAACACTCAGGATCCAAGAGGCTCTAAAGAAATGTTTTGTGTAACTGAAAATATACACATTTCTGTTACATAAGAAATCTACTCTTTGCCCATATTACTATTCTCTCCATATACAATATAGTTTGCCATTGAAGGAGTGGGAAGAAATTACAGAATCTGTGATGTTACTATGATACGAAATCTTCATAACCTGGGATCCAGGGGCTGAGAGATGTTGTTCCACCAAACAGGTGAACAGAGGTGAAACACTGACACAAATAAGGTGTCAGAAGTGCAATCCCAACCTTTATGTTAAACAGGATGTAAAGAAAATACAAGGATGGATCTGAAACATCTGGCCTGGACTTTCCTCCTCCAATCTCCCTCAAAAATAACACCAAAATCTTAAATCCCTTCAAGGCTGTAAAAGTTAAATTGAGCTTAGGCATTTCCTGCGCAGTAAAGTTAGCTTGGGATTTTACAAAAGAGGATTATTGAGGAGTGAATTGCAGTTTTATGGCCCCTGGTTTATAAAATGCATGGTGCTACTTCAGAAATCTGTAATAGCAGCTTTGCCAACATCAATACCCCACTATTTTATAACTCTGCCCATGTTCACTTGTGAAAATCTCCTTTTAATCCTCATGCATGACTCTCTGGCATTTTCTGTGGCTCCTAGAGGCTGCTAAAATTCTAGGCTGACCAATCCACCTCTTGATACTATCCAGGGAACTATCCAGGGGTGAGCTCTGTGAATGTGACATTAATAGTGAAGGTACTCAGTGGAATTCTGCAATGCAGAGAAATCTTACAGGTGTATTTGGTTGCCAAGCCCGGGCAGTTCTTCCCAGCCCTGGACCTAGCCATTTTAGATATTAAAAATAAAGGATGAGGTCTACAGATGTAACTCCATTTGCAGTTATTTAGCTTATACCTCACAGTAAAGAGGGATCTCCTACACCATGTTGCTTATATGCAATTCAGACTGATTATTTTTATTATACAATCCACATTTAGAATCTTTATCTGTATGCAGAAAACCAGATACTTTACCCACATGTTATTATTAAGAACTCTGCAGTGCTTTTACTACTCATTGGCTATGAATTTTTTAAGTTTGCTAAGTCTCCTAACATTAAAACTAGGTGCTTCTGTAGGATATAAAAATCAGGGCAATTAATATTTCTAAAAGTGTCAAGCAATGTCATGCCTTCAATATGTGAGTTTTAGTTTTCTGTTCTCCCAAAAGAAAGGTGCATGGGCTCAAAGGCAGGGGTTACATGAAGCTCAGGGAAGGAAGGTGAGGACTGGACAGCAGGGCAGGCATCTGAACCGACTTCTGCTACCTGATTTGGGAGGCTCTGCCCCGTGGGCATGCTGCATCCAGGCTGCTTCATTTTCTGGTTTGTCAAGAGAACCAGAGATCCAATCTTTACAGGAAGCCTCTCAACTTCTAAAAATTGGCAACTGATTCAGACAACTCCATACACGCGTGCACATCAAACAAAGTGTTCTGTTGGCTATGTTTGGCCTCCAGAGGCCTCCGATCTGCATCCTCTCTCTACTGGCTGAATTCACTAGTCGTTAATATTTATTATTTTTCCAATATGTTAACATGTGAGTACACTGGGAAAATGTACAGAAGAGGCCAATATGTCCTGCTCATGGCAGTGCAGGTAGAAATTAAATTCACAGCACTTACCCTGCTGACTTCCTTAGGAGTCGATTCATCTGCAGAGGGGAGAGGAAAGGGAAGACACGGTTAGAAGCTGAGTAACTACTGAAATACAGGACACATCACTCAGGCTCAAGAAACTCAAAGGCTCGTTCGCAATGGTGTCTTTGCTGAAACCTCACAATTTGATTTTTTTTAATTGTAAAAAGTTAAACATACCAAACTTAAAGAGTTAGAAGTATACAGGAACTTCAGAGGGCAAATGAAATACACAGCCTTTCTCCAGAGTACTTTTTAAGAAATTTTCAACCAGAACAGCCTATAAACTGTACTGTGCTATACCCAAGTATACCAAAACCCTACCATGGGATTTATAACACTTGGAGTTTTCCTCAAGGTGCAGCACATACGAATATCCAAAAAAACCACTGTCCCTCATGCCATGACCTGGAGCGGCCCTGGCTGTTTCACTGAACTGAATGCACCTGTTCAGTCCCCTGGCCAAGGTAGTGCTGCCTTGTACCACGGTGCAAGGGGTGCCAGCTGTTTACACCAATTTGCTAGCATTGTTTATTGGTATGGGGACACTGGTGGTGTGCACCTGGTCTGAGTGAGACCCCCGTGGGTTCTCTCATTGGGACACGCCAGCTGCTGCAGGCCTCCTCCAGCGTCACTGGTTCTCAGTGCCTCATGCAGAGTTCACTGGTTCTGACCCTAGACAAGGCGTCTGGCTCTGACAGAGGAGTGGCTACTGGAGCACAGCCTGACCTCTCCAGAGCCTTCTGGGACGTGGCCTCTCATCGAGTGCTGCTGCTATGCTGCACCCTTTTCCCTGCAACAAATTATAGGTCTGCAAGACTTGCTGTCACCATCCAGGTCCCTCAACATGTCTAAAACTGAACATACCTGTGACTATCCAAGCACGGGCTGACTTAACTTGACACAGCCCAAACCACATCTTTCATCTCTGTTCCCCAGGCTCACACAAGGTTGTGATTCTCCTTTCTCCTTCAAAGTCCACGTTAACCGAATCAGTGAGTCTCAAGTTTCCTCTTTTCTACAGCCTTGGGTTTACTGTTTACCATCTGTGTCCACAGGTCTAGTCTCAAATCATACACCAACCAGTAGCATCCAAGTTGGCTCCTCAATCTAGACTCTGCATTGGCAATCATGCCTACACAGCGTGCAAGCATGAGTAAGTTCTTTCTTTCCACACCCTCAACCCCCACTACCTTTCATTCCAAGCTTGTCTTTCAAAAATATTTGTTATTATACCTCTCAAGTGCTTAAGTTCCTAAATTATACTGGATTTCAGCAATATAAACATTGACTTAACCTGAGAACTTTTCAAAACTTACCAAGCTCAGTGCTATCAGATAACAGTAGCCACTCAATAAACAGTGTCCATTTTTTAATTTCATGATTAATAAACACTCATTTATATATGCTACAATTGTTGAAAAATGTTTACAGTATTGCATCTGAGTTCCCTAATATAACAATGTTATAGGAAAAATGCATTTTATCTTCTACACTGAAGTCACATTACAAAAATGTTTCATTTACTTTTCAACTCTTCACACTTTATCAGAACTTAAATCTCTGAAGAGAGGCCTAGTATAACCACTGTGACAAGTGCTACTAACACACTCTAAAGGTACAAAAGCTCATATGGTTTACTAACATATTCTAAAGGTACAGAAGCTCATATCCTTTGGATTATTTTAAGTTTTTATGCAAGAAATTCAACGAGCATGGATGAGAAGGTCAAATAATGAAAAGCAGGACCTGGTGAATACATAGAAAACTGAGAACTGAGATGGGAATCTATCAAGCTACAGCACTTTGGAGTTTCCTCCTCTCTAGTAATCATTACAACAAACATGAAAGTCATTTCAATTAAGTGTAATTGAAATACCCAGACATGTGTAAGTAAATGTTCCTTTTGCTTTGTTTGGTAGTTTTGATTAGTTGGTGCTTCTGAAACTTGGGTGTGTGAATGATATCCTACCGGTACATATGTACAAAACCAACAATTTTTTTGTTTTGATGGACTCCCTTAATTTTAAAAAAATGAGAGAAATTTTGCCTATAGATGATTTCTGGATTTTTTTAATCTTATGAGCTTAGACATCTATTTCTTAATTGGATTCATGTTTTTTTATTTTTTATTTATTTTTTTTTTATTTTTTTTTGACAGGCAGAGTGGACAGTGAGAGAGAGAGACAGAGAGAAAGGTCTTCCTTTGCCGTTGGTTCACCCTCCAATGGCCGCCGCGGCCGGCGCGCTGCGGCCGGCGCACCGCGCTGATCCGATGGCAGGAGCCAGGAGCCAGGTGCTTTTCCTGGTCTCCCATGGGGTGCAGGGCCCAAGCACCTGGGCCATCCTCCACTGCACTCCCTGGCCACAGCAGAGGGCTGGCCTGGAAGAGGGGCAACCGGGACAGAATCCGGCGCCCCGACCGGGACTAGAACCCGGTGTGCCGGCGCCGCTAGGCGGAGGATTAGCCTAGTGAGCCGTGGCGCCGGCCTGGATTCATGTTTAATAATTACAGGAACTGCCCTCCAGGTTCACACATACCCAGGCAACAGCAGGGGTGGTGTAGGGACTGGGGCATATGCCTCTACCAGCAAGGACCGCAGCACCAGGAGTGATTTTTCAGAAAATAAAAAAGGACCCCAGGGGCAGCTGGTGGTGTGCCCCTGCACTTCCAAGACACACCAAATGTCAAGACTTTATATATGAAGTATCTCTACGCCTGATGGCGAGGAGAGAGACTCCTCCTGTAGGTGCCCGGGAGGAGGGGCCCCAGGTAGCCACAAGCCATCTCGCCTCTTCAGCCACTTTCCTATCCCTGCATCCAACTTAGCAGCTAGTTTTTATTAAACAAATGACAAGTCTTTTCTATGTCGGGAATACAGTATTCTAGAAAGCTGAGGAAATCAGTGAGTACAGCAGAATGTTCTAGAATAAGAGAACCCTCTAGCTTACTTCCTATACTTGTATTTCTACTTAGTTGGAATCTGTTGCCTGAGATAGAACTTTCAGCGTCTCTTCCACTGTGGAGTTGAACTGCTGAAACACCTAAGCAGAGCTGTTTCCACAGGGGCTCCGAGCACAGCTACAATTGGACACCCAGATCACAGCAACTGACTGTCCTGCTTTGGGCAGGGTGTCTAACGTCTTTTGTCACCTTACAGATCTGAAGTGAAACAATATCCCGATAATATAAATGTGCCTCCCACTCTTTCTCTGACACTCTTTCAAAATAAAATAAAATAAAATAAATGTCTAAAAAAATTCAAGAGCATTCAAAAAGCAATGCCATCAAATGTTACTAGGATATTATTTTATGACATTAAATTAATGCACTGTTATTTAAAATAAAATCTTCAGAAAATTCTTCTGCTCCTAACAAGAAACAAATTCCTTTGTTTCATATTCATGCCCTAACAACCCAGTTCTGCTGTATTTATTCAATGGGAATCCAGTCCATGCAAGACTCCTTTTCTGCTCCATTAGGACTGATCTCACTAGGCCCATCAATTCCACTTCTTCATATCTTCAGGTGAGCACCTGCTAAGTATGTGCTTACCATATCTCAGGACAAAAGCCAGAAACACAATGGTCCTCGTCTTTATGAAGCCTTATTCTAAAGGGAGGACACAGCTGACGGGAACTGAAGTCTGCGACACACTGGAAGCACTGAGTGCTTGGCAGGGGAGGGGTCCAGTGGGATGGGGGTCAGAAGGCAGTGGGGGGGGGGGCTGCAGCATCACAAGCAAAGGCAGCAACCCCCAAGCAGACCCTGCTGCACACCTGCCACAGAGCACAGACTCCACGTTCTAAACATCATGTCTTTCTCAGTTCAGCTCAAATTCCAGTTGTCTACGAGGTCTTTACAAAAGCACCAGACCCACTGATCCCTCTTTTCTCAGAATATTTAAATTCCTACAGAAAATAGGAAGACAGGAACTACAGAAAATAAAGAGAGGACTGAAGTCAATGAAGGTCTCGTTTCAGATGTCAGATTTACCATGACGTGTGGGTTACTGAACCCTTCCAATCCTGCCTACCTCCTATTTATGACATGAGATGATTTAAAATATTTGGATTGAATGAGGTAATGTATATAAAGTTCTTGCAGACTGGACAAAATCTGTGTACTCAACAGATTGCAGTTTTGTTCCCCCTACCAACTCAACCGCCTGATAATTACATTTGGTCTTCCATTGATAACCAGAAACATGTTAATGATTTAACTTACTCATTCACTAAATATAAAGTTCAAGTAGATTTACATAAATCATATTGACACATAAATTTCAACTTTTCAACTATTTCTCTTGGGTTTTAAAAGTTGTATCTTCCTACAATAAATTGCCTTAATTAAAAATTTGTATATATATCACAGTACCAAAGTATACACAGAAATAATTTGATTGTACAATAGAGATGAAGCCACTATCATATTAACAGAAAATTTAATGACCCTCTGAAAATACATCAGATAATTTAAATTTCACTTACATTACCCATAAATAAATGAAAACGGTGAGGAACACCATCATTTCTTTTTAGATCTTCTAGTCATCTCTAATCACTGACTCTACAGGCAAAGACTTACTGGCATATTCATTATTTGTATTTTTATAAAGCTATGATGTATGTATAGCAAATATTTGAAAAAATCAAATCACAATCTTCTGATACTTTCAGACATGCTCATAAAAGTACAATGTAAACTTGAATTATTTCCTTTTGGTCTATAAATAACACATGTACAAAGTAGAACTAAAAATATAATAAAACCAAAATTTAGGTCACTCAATAACATAAAAATCAGGCAAGCATCCTGAAGCTTTTCAGTATCTCCTACATTCTCTGCCTAAGAAGCATGTGAATATAATTGAGACTTCAGAGAAGTGCCACTCTATACAAATTATTTAATTTTAACTTAAAATATATTATCAAAACCTTTAAATGGAAGTAAATACAGCCATGACAAATCATCTTATGATAATGGTACACAGTAGTACTCTAATGTATATGTATG